TATTCACTTTCATTTTTCGAATAAAAAAAAAAAAAATTCTATTTCACATAAAACAATAAGAGAAGCCACCGCACAAACTGGGAATAAAGAAAGTGAAAAGCAAAAATAAATTTCTAAAATAAAATTTTAAAAGGAGTAAACCAAACACCAAAAAGGAAGAATTCATATAATAGAAAAGCTGGAATAACAATTCCGGCGCAATAACAAAACTAATACAACCAGTAAAAATGAACAATAATTCAATGAATTCAACTAATGCACTCATGAATAATTTAATTTTTCGTGTTAATAAAACAAAAAGAAGAAAAAAAAAACAAAATGAACAAGAATGGCAAGAAAAGTTTTCCTTTTCATTTCAAAACCAAACTTTTTCTTTTCTGTCTTTTTTTTTTCACTTTTTAGAATCAAAAAAAAAAATAAAAACATAAACAAAAATGTTAAAGTGTTATAAATTCAAGTCACGAAAAAATTGAAACAATGTTCTTCAAGCTACTATAAAAAAGGATGGCATATATGAACAGAAAAACAAAGCAATAAAAAAGAGCAAAACGACAAAAAAATAAGAGAACAAAAAATGATTAAAATGAAATAAACTTTTTTTTTTCTTCCTTACTTTTTACTTACACCATAACCATACATTATAGTTTGTGTATAATGTGTAGTGGACCTTACAACTAAAACAAGGCAACAAAACAAATGAGAATATTATAAAAAAAAAACAACAACAATAAGAACAAGGACATGAAGAATGAGCAACACAAAAATGTTAAAATAATATTATGATGAAAATATTACATACACTTAGATATCTTAATAATATCCTTATGAAATATATTATCCTTTGAAAAAGAAAAAACAATAAAAAATCATGTACAAAACTTTTAGAAAGGCATTTTAAGAAAAAGTAAATAACAAGAGTGTGTTTACTGAAGCCTTTCTTGTTTTTTTTTTATATACGAGTATATAGTAAATCAGATAAAAACTATATATAAGGTTTACAATTTTTTTTATTTAAAAAACTATACAAACTATTGTTGTTATAGTCGGAAGGATAAACATACACGACTATCATGAACAAACAAAATGAAAAAGAAAAAATGGTAAAAAATAGACAAAATCAAAAAAAATTAAATGAGAGAAACAAAAGTGAGAAACGTTATAGAAAAACTTAAAAAAACAAAACAAAAAAAAAAACAACACCTACATAAAAAAACTTATGAATGAAAGAATAAAGAAAGGGACGAAATATGTGAAGCATGTAAGTTTTGTAAAACAAAAAAAAAACAAAAAAATAAAATAAAAATAAAATTAACCTAGACTTTTAGAAATAAAAAGGAAAATATGTTCCAGACTACAATGGGATATGATATAGATAGGTTCTTTGAAATATTTTATGAATTTTGTGGCAAATCAACTGGGAATATCCAGATTAGATTAGGTAGTTCCAGCATCTGCTCTGAAATTCTTATTGCAATAAGGTTTTCTATTAAAATCTCAAACAAATGCAGTGACAAAAGCGAACTTCTACTACTATTTTTACCCCCTTTATAAAACTTTATTCTTGATTTTAAATTTAATCTATAACTAGTGATTTGTTACAATAGCTAACTGTAGGAATAATGCCGAAAAATTCAAAATTTTTTTATTTTTGAATATAGATTTATAGATTTGAAAAACCGGGGTAATAATATGCCGCGACAACTTATACGACCTAAAGGAAGGTCATGGATATGGACAATATCCGCTCCATATAACCGGGAATTATAACAATATGTGTTAATTTTAAAGCTATATGAAAAAATCCAGTTCATAACCTGTGGTTACATCACAACGAGAAGACGGTGACGATGAAACGTATATGTTAACAATTGACGCAAAAGTCGTTTGGCAAACATACCCTTATGTCCATTTGATTCTTTATCATTAATACAATGCCAAATTTATATGTTCCAAGTTTTAACTAAAATTTCTATTCAAAAATTATCGACAAAATATATTTTTAGTTCTCTTAACTTCATTAAAAAATGAATTATAAACTTTCCACAAAAATGAATGATTATAAAAGATTTTTCTTTTTATTCACCCATGATTTTATAATACGAAATAAACATAAGCAAAAAAAAAAAATTACATAATAAACCCTTTTATATACATTTAAAATGAACACATACAGATGTTTATGTATATTGTAAGAATATTTTTTGAATGCATCATTAGTTGTTATCCTTTTTGTTTCTTTTTTTTTTTCTGTGTAGTGTTGTGTTGTCTTTTCCGGTCTTTTGTAAAATTTTCCATCATTTTGAAAGAATTACTTATTTATGACGCTTCTGTAAAAATGTTCTTTTATTTCTCTATGTATCATCTGTTTCCGCAACAAATTTTCTTGTTCCCATCATCTATATAGAGATGCTCGTCAATGTCCTTTTAAAGTAGGGTATTTTGCCTTTTTTTTTTTTGTTTTTGTTGTATTCAGAATGATAATAATAATCATGATTAAATCAGTTGATGGTTCAAATAGTTATTTAAGTGAGATACTCATTCAGTAAGTATATGATGGCATATAAAATAGAAGTATTTTAATGTAAATGGAAATATAAAAACAAAAGGAAAAAATAGAATCGTAAATGAAAAGATAAAAATTTCCTTCTATTATCTCGAATTTTCAACTTTTATCTCTATACCTACCGGATTCTATATTTTATGTGACACTATTTTTCGTTTTCGTATCAGAAAAAAAACCTTTTGTATTATTTAAAAACATACTGCAATTTTATAAGGGGAGGTTAGGGGTGGAATATTCTCGAATAAATTTTGTTCTTTGTTTAAAAGATTTCAAGTGTCAGTAAATAAAGAATCAAATTTAAAAGTAAATGAAAACACAGTGTTTTCCAAAAAAAAAATTTTACAAATTTGTAAAAGAAAAAAATTTAATTTTCGGTTGTCAATATCAATGGCGCCTCACATGGGGGCCAAAGCGTTAATTTAATAGCAATGTTTTCTCGTAATGATTTTTTTTTAATTAATCTACAGAAAACTTTTTTTTCAAGGCGATTAGCTGAGAGATAAGCTTCTTTAGGTTCTGATTCTACTTTACATAAAATTTTTGTGAACGACGACTACCAGCTGAATGATGAGATTCTGAATAAGTATGTAAAGAATTGAAACACTGTAATGGAATTCCCAACAATTTAATAATGGTATTAAAATTTAATTCAAACCATTCTATAATAATTAAGTAGTTGGTATATCAAGATAAAAGCATGAATACTAACAAGCCAAGGTTTTTTTTTTTAACCAAATCAAATTCTTTTCTTTTTTTCTGTTTTCAAAAATTATTAATCACACTGTCCGCTCATGTAAATGTATAAACATAAGTACTTACATACATTGATGAAGGTCTCAGAATAATTCAAGTAATTTTTTATAGACCCAAACGATTTACTTATGATTTATTAGATTCTTATTTTATTTTAGTACAATTCATATTCCCTTATACAAGGTCAGTCAGTCTTAAGATTTGTAATTTCTCATGTTTTTCCCAGATCTAGCATATAATACTGGAAAAAGGGATAATGAATATTTAAACACATCTGAAGGATACTAAGTACCTTTTACTTTTTGTGTTTTTTATTTTTTTTTTTTTTCATTTCATTTATAATGCTTACATCCTTTTTCTTTTTATTTAATAAATATTTCAAATTACATTTTGTAATTTGGAGCTGCTGTAACAGCGTATTTTTTTTGCTTTTGTTTTCAAAATATAAAATATTTGTAGAGTCGTTATACAATGTTATTTATTTCAAATATCATCATCACCTTAACCAGAATAAATTTTTCTGAAGTTATTATACTTAAAGTACTTTAATATAGGTCAAGTTTTTAAAAGGATATTATTACGAAATGAAGATAACTTTTTTTAAAATAAATTTTTTTCCTGTTTAATTTTACTTACGAGTACACCCTAAAATTTTTGAGAATTTTCAAGTGTTAAAATTTAAGATGACTTTAAAAATATTGGATGTATAATAGAGTTTGTTTTAGAACCAATTGCTATAGAATTATTATTTTTACGATTATAGTTATCACAATTTATATTTGTCTTAAAGTTCTTAATATTGTGATAAAACCCAATGGAATTTTAAATTGAAAAATAATATTTTTAATACTAGTCAAATATAATAGCATTCTTGATTTTCGGTTTTTATCAACGCGAAATATTTTTGATGTCTCACAATCAAGTACTCAATGATCATGTAACCCACACTCAAAATGAGCATCTCGTTCTCGATGATGTTTTTGATGTTTACAAACGAAATAAGTGACAAAAATTTATAATAATTAATGAACAATTTAAAAATGATTAGATGCTGAACTCAATAGCTTCGTTTTAAAGAGATAAAAACGTTTTCTGCGACGTAAGGTGTCGGGGAACCGATTTTGAAAAATTCCTTGGAACAAATACTAAATTGATTAAAATCACTCTTTACTCTACCTCTTGTACAACTACATTTGATCTCCTTCGGCTATGACTAATCCGAACATCGGAAATACTAATTTTCCAATTCTTTGGCAACATTATCGACCTGGTCCATTAAGAACTGCCCGCATGCTCATTCATTGTTATTTAAACCATATTGTTAAATTTTATAAACCAGTTTTGTTTGAAATAGTTTCGAAAAACTAATTTAATAAATAATAGCTTCTAAAATTAATTTTAACCCTATCAAAAGTTATAGAATTAAAAATTATGGAAAAAGAATTCAATTTCTCTAAAGTTTTATTTTAATTTTTAAATTTTATCTTTTATTAAAGGATGCAATTTTCAGTTAAAATATAAATTGGCCTTGTTAAAAATTTTTCATTTTGTGTTTTATGTGTTATTATTTATTTAAATTAAATAATAAATTTTTTGTATTAAAAATTAAATTTCAATAAAATCATAATTTTCATGGGGAGCAATTCAAAAAATTTTAATAAAACAAAAAAAAAAATTCACTTACCAACACATGATTTCATATCACCATCGATATGATAACCCGGAAGACATGAACAATAGAAACTGCCAAATGTATTGATACATCGATGAAGACAACCACCATTTTTATCGGCACATTCATTGATATCTATATCATAAATCATAAATAAATAAAAAAGAGAAAATAAAATATAAAAGAAAACCACAAAAAGGACGTTTAATATCATCATAAATAAAATAATGAGCAAAACCTCACGTTCTTTCTCAATACATGTATGTATATGTGTATATAAATACAAATAAAAATATAAATACATGATAAACATGTATATTATAAATTTTTTATATTTTATTTTTGTTCTTTTTACCTTCACAATCCGCTGTACTAGAATTATGATAAAATCCATCAGCACATTCAGTTAATGTTTCCTCATAAATTGATTGTTCAGCACCAAAATCAACTAAACACGTGTACGATCCTGGCGTATTTATACAACCAAATTCACAACGTAATTCTGAACTATCATCACTTGCTTGTTCAGCACATTCATCAATATCAACACAAGTTTTCCAATCTTTATCCAATGTATATCCTTCAGGACATAAACAATATGCTCGACCTATATATGTACATATATGTACATAAAATGAAAATTGAAAAACCGAAAAATCAGTAAGAAATGTTGTTTTTAATATTTTGTGTATTTCGTTTGCTTGTTATTTGCTTGAAACACAATAATAGTGAATTCCAGCGAATAAAAAAAAATAATAATAGAGAATATTCTTTTATTTATATAGATTTTTATGTATGTGAAAATAAATATGTACATATTTTATAAGTATTATATCACGAGTCTTATATTACGTGAATAAATAATAAACGATAGTATTAAGTAAATAAATAGTTAGCGTACATATTTGCATAATAAATATATACATATAAATACAGACATATTATATGATATCAGTATTAACATTGAATAAGAATACAAAGAATTTAATTGGAATGTAGAAAATATTATGAAAGCAAAAATTAACTTGGGATATAATTTTCGTGCACCTACTACACAAGATATTTGATTAATTAAATTCATTTATAAGAATATTTTTTCGAAATATACCAGTAATTAATATTTTAAATATAAATATAGTCTTTCAGAGCTATTTGAGGCTTCGAACTGGAAAATAAATGGCAATGTTAACATAATTTTGAGCACGTAATTCAAAATAATTAAAAAAAAAAAAACTGATGTGAACAGCACAGTATATTTTCTGGTTTGAGGTGTTGCACAAGATTATAGAAATATTTTTTAAACAGTTGTTTCAAATTTTAAGGACTCTATAGTAAGAGAAAACGATGACCCACCTTCTATGCTCATGTTCGGCACTTACTTGGGTCTTACTTCTTTGGGCACGCTACGGACTTAGCGGATGTAAGCGTTAGGAATTTGAACCGATTTTTAAAGGGTTCGGGCTGGTTCAGACGTGGAGCCGGAGGGAAGAGATCCGGCGGTACCACAACGGGCCTAGTTGGCCTATATGTACTCTTCGGGGAGCCGCGACAACCTAACCTAACCTAACCTATAGTAAGTATTCAGAAAACCGAATCGAAATTGAGATACACGAATGCATACACAAACTGATATCTCGCTAAAATAGTACATTTAGGCTTCCATAACAGGGAGAAATGCATTTCTGCCGAAAACTTAAGTTGTGAATTTTGGTATCGAACCTCTCTTATTGTATGAAATGCGGTCTGTTAATAAAGAAACATACTATCATTTTTTTTGGCATATAGTAAATGAACTTTGGTATGTTAAATGTGTACACAGTTTCTATTGACTCTGATTACTAGTTTACCCTAATTAATTATATTATTTGCATGATATATGTAAAATGTAAACATGTAAATTAAAGTAATAATACATATAATCAAATTTTGTTATATAAGGATAAGTTGTTATTGAAGAATTTGCTGGTTCTAACAAATTATCGTAGAAAATATTTATGCAATGTTATTAAAATACGAGTAGTAACAATTTTTGAAATTAGGATTAGTTGAATAATTATAACAAATCAGCTACAGTGGAAATATTTTTGTTAAACTAATATTATCAATTTAGAATTTTGAGCTTTAAATCGTTAAAATAACATATCTAACTATAAAATGAAATATCTAACTATAACATCTTCAATTCGAAGGTCCACGTCCGAGTGAAGTTTTATGCGTCACGAAGATAAAGAAAATAATACCTGGTTTATCCGGATTATGAAATTCCCTATCGATTTATTAAATCTAGTATCGGATAAAGTTCAACCCGCGTATAAAGTTAACAATACCGCGTTGATTGAAATTTAAGAATAAAGTAGCTACGGGGTCCAAATAATTAACATATTTATTAGATTAACAATGTTTGACCTCTTGTCTAGTGAATTTTTTTATTTTAATTTATTTTAAATAGCATCTTCTTTGAAAAAAGAAGAATTCTTTCTTACAAGAAATATATTTTAAATGTACTTTTAATAAGAAGAATGTTAAACTTTACAAATTTAAGAACAATAAATCTCAGCTAATAAAAGAATACTTCAGAGTGTGTCTACATACTATACTTATATATGCCGGTATAAATGATTAAATCTAAACTATATACCGGATCTCTTTATTATGCGAATTGTTAATTTTTATACATAATCTAATTTCCTTTATTTTACATTAACATAAAAGTTTCCAATTAAATTTTTTAAAGTTTTTATGTAATTTTTTTAATAGTAAACTTTTCTAATAAAATTTAAATAGCTATACACTTGTTTTACTTACTAACTTATGCAATTTAACTTTGATAATATAAAGTATAAATTTGTTGACTTTTAAATATTTTCGAATTATATATGTATTGCAAATACATACACGAAAATATTGCATATAAATTATATTTAATTATATGCATTTTTTATTTAAAAATTATCCTAGTATATACACTGTAGTATACTATTTACACTTAATAATAAAAGATTTACCCATTGTATGTATACAGGTATGTGAACATCCTCCATTATTTTGACTACATTCATCAATTTCCATACATGTATGACCATCAGTATTTAAATGACTTCCTGGTATATTATCACAAGAACATTTATAACTTCCCATTGTATTAATGCATATATCCTGACAGGGACCTTGTCCATTCCTTAATGATATACATTCATTTATATCTAAAAAGAAAAGAAAATTATAATAATTTTTAAAATGCAAAATATTTTCTTTAAGGATGATAAATTAAATTGTGCCATATACACATAAAATCATGATGAATATACATTATGTACAATACATAAATTTATGTATATGTATTTGTAATTATATTTATGCATTTATTATTAAAATATATAAAATAAGAAATTTAATATTTTGCTTTATGTACATAAAATTGCTTATATATTGACTTTTAAATTAGAATTATGGAATATTAAGAATTCTTTATGTAAGTATTTTGTAGAAAATAAATATTATCTATAAACTTAAAGGGAATTAAAATTAATTGATGGGAAAATTAAATACAGAATTTATAAAATTAAACATAATAATTTTGTATTGAAATAGAATTTGATGTGATCAACACATAAGCAACGGCAATTGTTCCATTTATTATTTGCTCGGATATAACTGGCACTAAATCGAATTAGGTAAAGGTTCTGCCCCCAAGAAAAATTTTTCATTTAATTCTTTTTACAATAATTATTGTGTTTAAATACAAAATTATAAGTACTATATTCTATTATCTTTAATAAAGTCAATTCCGTGACCCTGACATGCGTCAAAATTTTAATTAAGTAAAACCATTTGAAATTGACCACGTGTAAGACATTTTGTTTTCGTTTCTCTATTAAGGGAAAGTGTATCTTCCGTAGAAGCTCGAATCTTTATATTTGATACGATAACAATACCTCAATATAGTACAGAATGCAATCGTTAATAGTCATAGTATAAATAAGAAAAAAAATTGTATATACTTTCTGTGTGCGTATATCTACATAAATATTATTCTTTGGAAGTGTATCATTAATTTCAATCAAAATTTTGAAATAATGTGTACAACATATACAAAACTTTTAATATTATATTTGTTCAATACACACAGTTTAAACTATAAAGATTTTAAATTCCGTATAATTTTTGATATTACATTTTTAATCATAATTTTCATTAAATACAAAATAATGTACTTAAACTTCTTAAATCGCATTACATAAATTTAATTAATTTATTTAGTGAAAATATTTTTTATTTTTTATATTATCATTTCAATAATTTTAAATTTAAAAATTAATTTTTGATATTAAAATTGTACTTTAATCTTATTTTGAATTGTAAAATTGAAAAATTCATTGTATTTGTTTAAAATGTATTTAAAATTAAGTAATAAATAGGACTGTAAGTTGCACAACTTTAAGACCGTGCTTGAGTCAATAATACTCGTGGGAATTTTATATTAAAAACTCTCTTGTGACAGGGGGATAATGATGCTGTTCAGGTAGTGCAAATTCTAATTAAAAAATTTGTAATATAAAAGTAACGACGATATCTCATTCTAACTTGTTCATAATGAATTTTCCTAAATTTTTAAGACGTTGGAATACTATTATGTAATAAAACTGATAAGTTATAAAATATTACTGTTTGTAATATTAATACGGACAATGTTTTTGACAAAATCATAATTAACTTCATTCAGATTTTTTTTGTAAAGAAATTGTCTACTGTTTTTTATTAAAATGTGATATGCACGGAATTCTAGAATAATTTTGATTATTGGAATGATATGAATTTCTTTTTTGTTAAAAAATATTTCGTTATAAAATATAACGACCTTAAATTATTATTTCACAAATCCACCAGTTGAATCCGTTTTCATTTTACTATACAGTTAGCACTGATTGAATAACACAGTAATAACGAATCGCCTTTAATGATAACTTCATCAAATACTCAATTATGCTGCACCATGGCACACAATTGGACATTTTATGAATGAAAATTGTGTTGAAAAAAAATTATTTAAACCCATTTTTAATTTTAAGGAAATTCGTAAGCTATCATCCGTGATATGACTAAAACCTAGCCATATTATAAAGAATAGGTGCTTTTTTAAACAAATTTTTCGAAAATGATATTAATGCAACTGAAATATGCATAATATAGAAAAAGGATTTAAAAATAGAAATTCTGGTTTTGTTTTTTTCAAAGAATTTGTACAAAATTATTGAAAAATATGAATTGAACCCTTTTGTGTATTATATTTTAATATTGAGTTTCATTTTTCTACATATTATGTAGTAGTTTATAAAAAATATGTACTTTGTTTGCAATCTTAACAATAACGTAACATACGAATGTGTGGTTATACGAACACTGAATATAACTAACGATACAATGGTTTCCACATGGGTATTATAATTTTTTTTTGCATGCACAATCTTAAATTCAATATTATTTTATACTTGTTACTAGTTATTGATGTTACCAAACGTATACTAATATAAGTTGAATAAACTTCTATTATTTTTTCCTGTAATTTTGATATACAAAAATGTATCACAGAATTACAGCATACATACATATAGATATTGAATTTAAATTCAAGTTACAAGATTAATTAAAAAAATTCATTCAAACAACGTAAAAATTTTTATTAGTCAAATTAATGTTTTAGTAAAACTAGGATAATGTTCGTTCTTTTTTGTGGAATAATGATCGTTCGTTTTGTTTGCTTAACCAAACAGCTCAAAACTAAGCTTCAGTATAAATATTAACAGCTCAATGAATTCACAACTCAAATCAGTTAATTTACGCTTGACACGAATAGTATTTAACCTGCGTTATTGTTTGATACTTTCTTTATACAGATAAATTTAAAATGTGCCCCCTTAAGTATGTAATTTTACATTTATTCATACAGCTATCAATAAAATAACAACGCTTTTTATAAATGCAGAAATAAAACCAACTTTAACTATTTAGTTAATTAATATATTTTCAATTGCATTACTTGAAAAGAGAAATTTAAAAAAAGAAGAAAAAGTTCAATTTCAGGTAATTAATTTCATAATTTTAATAAATCAAACCTTAAGCAGTTTAAATGTAATATGTAATCGGAAACTCCAACTACAATCTTAAATTTCTTGCGTGTTTTCTTTTATTGATTTACAAAACAAAAAAAAAGTACCATTACAATTTCTTTTCAATTTATATTAGAATTACAAATTGTATTTTTTTTTTCTAGAATTGAATTTTTATTTACTTTTTCTACCTTAATACAATCATACATGTAGTATCCTCAAATATGTAGTTCACTTCAATTTACATTGGCACATAAGAAGTTTTCGTGTATGTGTATATGCCAATATGGAATTGCATAAATTTTCATGCATTATATTTCTTACATAATGTTCAATTTTATTGTATACATACATATACAAGCACATACTGTTTATATTTAAATAATTTTTGTAAAATTCTATTGTTAGAAAAGAGACCAAAATAAAATAAGAGAATAATAAACGTGCAATATAAGAAAGAGAGAAAATTTTAAAGCAAAATAGAGATAACAATAGAAAGATGAAGTTGGTAGTAAATGTTCAATAAAAGACAAAATGTTATGCAACATTTCTATTTTTCAAATTATGTTTTTGTTGTATTACATTGCAGCTTATTATCATTTTTATTAAATTGAATTTATCATGAATGCACAATGTTCATTTTCTATTCCAATTGTCCATAGTTGGGCTATGCAATGTATACATAATGTATGGGTATGAGCAAATCTATATATAGTAGTACAACAAAACCAGAAAATTAATAAAAGAAGTAAATATTTATGCTATATAAACAGGATTTTTATCTTTACAGCAAATAAGTAAGTACCTACATGTAAATATGTTAATGCTAGTTAAGTGATTTAGAGATGGTAAAAAACCAGTCAAATAATATAATTTAAGGAAAAACATTTTATTTGTTTTGCAAAATTATAAAGAAATCGAAATGTTTTATAATGGTATAGATAACTAGTACACACAAAATATGTGCTCTTTAGGATATTGACAACAAACTTTCAGGAAATACTCGTATATGAAATGAAAATAGTTCTTGCACGTTTAAAGAAATAAATGGTTGAAACTGTTTCCAAATTCTACAATTTTTTATTTCGTGCTTATCTATGAGGAAAAATATTTGACAAATTTCTAAAAATCGGAAAATCTTTAAATTCAAATCTGGATTTTAAAAATTCCAACTGTTCAACTAGACTACGAATGTCTAAACCCAAGGTAAAGTTTTAAATATGGCGAAATACTCTATTTTTCTATGAAATATTCAGTTTGAACCGCTTATTTCGGTTAATAATGCAAATTCTGAAATGAATGAGGATAACCGATGCAATATAAATGTGAATTAGCGAAACAGTGGAGTATGAAAATAAAAGCTGATTGGATTATTATGAGAAAACATATTCAGTGTTTGATTCAAATGTTTAAATAAAATTGTTTGATTCAGTGAAATTTTAAATGGGAATTTGAGATTCGGGTTCCTGTTCAGCTTGTAGCTGCATAGTCTAAATTGGGCCAGAAAAATCGAAATATCAGTGACTATTAAAAAAATTTAAAAAAAAATATATATATATATGTATATACAAATGTTCCTCAGCCCAAAAAATAATTTTGATATTTAATATCTGTCTGCTTTTTCTGTCACAAATTAATCTGAAATTAAAAACAGAAGTTGAAAGAAACAGAAAAATAATTTAAATAAATTCACATAATAATAATTAATCAAAATCATCATCACTAATAATTAACTACTGTCAAACAAAAGAAATCAGTTAATTCTTCCTCAAAACTAATTTAAATTTCTTTCTAATTAAAATTACGTAATAATTACTTGCATAATTTTATGTAAAAATTAATACCAACTTTTGTTGCATAATCGAAAAATCAAAAGGATAATAATGGAAAGCATAAAAAGTAATTATTGCCAAGTGAGATCTTATAATGTTAAATAAGATTATAAAATTGTAATAGAATATTATCTATACTTTTCCAAAAATTTAAAATTGAACCATGTACTTGACCTAAATTACAAAACAATAGAATTTCAATTCATTAAGAAAATAATAGCTCTATCGTTCTTTTGCCAAAAATTCAATCTCTTCACCATTTTA